GAACATGGCCATATAGCCTGAAAAACCCACAACAACCCAGTGATTCCAGCCATGAAAGCCTTCAACAATACAATAATGATAATGTTTTGATCTATTGTGTTTTAATTCTGTTGTACTTTGCCTTCAGAGAGGCAGGTAAGGAATCCAAACTATCGTTGTCATCATCATCATCATCATCATCATCATCATCATCTCTGTTGTACCCATAGGTGTTAATCTTGTCAATGTTTTTCTTTTTCAATCTATGTATATCTATTTTTTATCTATTGCATTTTAATTCTGGGGAGCCATGCCTCAAGTCAATTTATTATTATTTTATGTTGTTGTTGTTGTTGTTGTTGTTGTTGTTGTTGTTGTTGTTGTAACCCACCTCAAGCCTTGGGGGAAGCAGCTAAGAAAAACAAATTATTATTATTATTATTATTATTATTATTATTTCTGTTGTAACCTACCTCAAGCTTTAGGGGGAAGCAGGAAAGAAATACAAAGTATTTTGTATGTGTTGTGTGTGTGTGTGTGTGTGTATAAAATTGTGTACCCTGCCTCAAGGCCTGGGGAGAAGCAGGCAAGAAATACTACAAAGAAGGAGGAGAAATAAAAACTGCTGCTGTTGTTGTTGTTCTGACCATATAATGCAGTTCTATGCAGTTAAACAGAATTTTATGAGTCTACACCAGGCATGGGCAAACTTTGGCCCTCCAGTTGTTTCCGACTTCAAATCCTAACAACCTAACTCCCACAATTCCTACCAGCTGTTAGGAATTGTGGGAGTTGAAGTCCAAAACACCTGGAGGGCCAAAGTTTGCCCATGCCTGGTCTACACTGATCATAGATATGCCATTTCAAATTGCATTTTACAGCAGGGTGACATTTTTCATTCAAATGAGCATGACATTTCCCTTCCCTGTCAACTCAGGCAAACACAAACCACTGCGGCCTCTTTGGGTTCAGTCTGCTCTTCCCCATTCATAACTTTTGTTGACTTGGTCCCACTCTTTTGTTGCTTTGCCATATAGCGCTCCCCGCCGCCCCTGGTTTTCCTTGTCATAGGCCCACCTGTAGGGCAAACTGGTCCGGCTCACTGAGTTTGCTGGGGTTGCCCTGATAGCTGCGATAACGCTGGACCTCCTCAGCGTCGGGCGCATAAAGCAGCAGTTGCTTGATGTGTGAAGGCTCTAGGCGGTCACTCTCCATGTTCAGCAGGATCTGACGCAGTTCAATGTGGGAGAGCTTCAGGTGCGCAATCAGGATGGCTGCAAGGAGAAGCAAGGCAATGGGCAGACCTGTAATTGTTACACTGAGAGCACACAGAAGACCCCCAATAATACCTTTCCATGTCCTGGACGGGAACAGTGTCCGCACCCCCCCCCTACCTGTGTTGTAGGCCTTCTTGTGCGACAGAATCTCAACCACGTCTTTCTTTTTAAAGGACTCAGGCAAAGGGTTTGGCTCTGGAAGAGAAACTGGGAGATTTAACCAGAGATCAGGAGAGGGCTCGGGACGCCGGGATGGAGAAAATAAGGGATACATACAGAGGGGGGAAGATATTATGGGAAATGGGATGGACAACAAATAGGAAAACCATTTGGGTCTGGAGAGGGGAAAGTCAGCAAGACAATACAACCAGATGCATCAGAAATCCAAGATCACAATTCGGATGGACATGTTGCCACCACCATTGAGTCCCTACCAAAAATATCCCTTTCCTTGCATTGCAACAAATCCCACCAAAATCCCACTCTAGAATTGCATTGGATGACCCAGAAGGACCTAGAAATTTCATTTTCCGGTTGCATATACAGCTATTGATATATAATATTGTTTTCGCACCCTCTTCGAATTATTTGATGTCTCTAAGTGTACATCAACACTGTTTTGCCCCACTTTTAACTGCCATAGCTTTAATGCCATGGAATCCTGTGATTTGTAGTTTGATAAGGCCCTGGGAATCTCAGAATTTTCCCACCCCAAAAGGACTACAGGACTCACTTGCGGGCTTTTGCGTTCCAAAATGCAGCTCCAAGTCTAGGTATTTGACCATGTCGCTGAGTTTGTCATAGTCCGAGTCTTCTCCAAGCTAAACAAGGGAAAAGGGAAGAAGAAGATTGATGATGGTTATTATTATTATTATTATTATTATTATTATTATTATTATTATCACTTTTTCTCCACTCTGGGGCTTGAGGCAGTTTGCAACAGTTAAAAGAAGCATTGCTTTCAAATATAGTAAATTTTAAAAAGTTTTTAAAGTATCGTTAAACTAGGGGTGCATCCACACGGTAGAATTAATGCAGCTTGAGACTGCTTGAACTGCCACAGCTCAATACTATGGCATCCTGAGATTGTCGTCTTGCAAGGTATTTTAGCCTTCTCTGCCCAAGAGTGCTAGTGCCTCACCAAACAACAAATCCCAGGATTCAATCACATTAAGTCCTATAGCAATATTTATTTATTTATTTATTTACTTCATTTGTTGACCGCCGCTCTCAGCCCTAGGGCGACTCGCAGCGGTGTACAACATATAAAACAATTACAAAAGGCAAGAACAACAATAACAATAATACAAAATAATACAATTACAACTAAATGGTCCGCTTCGTCTCATCATAGAATCATAGCCAAGTTCGTAGTCTGTATTCCGTTCCCGTCGTCAGTTACCGATTGATAGCACTTATTTAAATGCCTTCTCGAAAAGCCATGTCTTCAAGCTTTTTCGGAAGGACATCAGGGAGGGCGCCTGTCTGATGTCAACAGGGAGGGTGTTCCACAGCCGGGGGGCTACCACCGAGAAGGCCCTCTCTCTCGTCCCCACCAGACGTGCTTGTGAAGCAGGCGGGATCGAGAGAAGGGCCTCCCCAGATGATCTCAAGGCCCTCGTGGGGGGACACAACCCAGACTGCAAGCTTGCAACTGACCAAATAGCCATAAGAGCTGCGCATGGGCACATTTGTGTGCACAATGCAAGATAGAACTGAATGCAGAGATTCCAGGTTGAATATAAAGGACCCGTTACTTTCATAGAGACATTGCTTTGCAAATGCACATCCCTATGAGATTCAGATGATTATGGTAGCTGCTTTCTCAAGAGCCTTTCAAACAGAGGCTGGATGGCTATCTGTCAGGAGGGCTTGAATGGTGTCTTCATGGATGTCAGAATAGAGTGGACTAAATGGCCCTTGGGGGTCTCTCCCAACTTTTTGAGTTTACAATTCTATGAAACAGAAGGTGGATGGACATCTTTTGGGAAGGTTTTGATTGTATCTTTCTTTCTGGCAGAAGTGGGTTGGACTGGATGGCCTTTGGGATCTCTTCCAAGCCTAGGATTTGTGTGCAGCAGTCTCCTTCCCTGGATATTTTAAAGCAGAGGCTGGATGGCCATCTGTCAGGAGGGTTTTAACAGTTTATTTCTTCTTAGTACGAGAGGGTTGGATTGAATGACCTTTTGGAAGTCTCTCCCAATTCTGGGAGTCTACAATTCTATCATTCAGAGGCTGGGTGGCCATCTGTTGGGACTATTTTGATGGTGTCTTCTTGCCTGGCAAAAAGGGGTTGGACTAGATGGCCTTTGAGGGTGTCTCCCAACTCTGTGATCTATGAGAGAGGCCAAATGGCCATCTGTCAGGAGGGCTCCGATAGTGCCTTCCTGCCTAGCAAAAGGGAGTGGACTAGATGGCCTTTGGGTGTTCCATCTGAACATTAGGAAGAACTCAGCAGTGGAACTCTCTGCCCCGGAGTGTGGTGGAGACTCCTTCTTTGGAAGCTTTTAAACAGAGGCTGGATGGCCATCTGTCAGGGTGATTTGAATGCAATATTCCTGCTTCTTGGCAGGGGGTTGGACTGGATGGCCCATGAGGTCTCTTCCAACTCTATGATTCTATGATTCCAAGTTTAGGATTCAGTGCAGAAAGGTGTGCCCTACCTGTCCCCAGATGGTGCCCTCGGAGTTCTCCACTTGCTCCCATCGCAGTCGCTTGACGCTCATGTGGTTGGACTCACTCCTTCGAGGGAAGGCCCCTCGGTGGGCTGAAGGGGGGGCGCAGGGGACCGGAGGAGGAGGGGGCGGCGGCGGGGGTGGAGGGGGGGCCAGTTGGGGGGCCAAGGAAGCTGGATTGGGCGAAGCGGAGGAAGAGGAAGAAGCTGAGGGTGCAACTGGAGGTGTCTTCCCTGCCTGGAGCCTCCTCTGGGCCCCCTTTTTGGGGTCCTGCGGTTGGGGAGGGGGTGGCGGGGTATAAGGGGGGGTGGAGGGATGGGGTCTGACAGGGAGGAGTAGGTCAGGGAGCTGCCTTCGCTGCTGCCTTCACTGCTGCTGCTGCTCTGGTCCTCGCTGGCACTGCTCAGGTCCTGGGTGACAAAGCTACCCTGGTCATCTTGGAAGCTCATCTGTAGGGCGAAAGAAGAAGGGGAAGAAGATATGGGACCTAGATGCGAGGGCTTACATCAATCATAGCCAAACTTTGGCCCTCCAGGTGTTCTGGACTTCAACTCCCACCATTCCTAACAGCCTACCGAAATGTTAGGAATGGTGCGAGCTGAAGTCCAAAACACCTGGAGGGCCAAAGTTTGCCCATGCCTGGATCTAGGACCTAGATATAAGACATAGATATGGAATAACATAGATGTAGGTCCTAGATATGCAGACTTAGATATGGGATACACAGATTTAGGTATAGTACCTAGATATACGGACTTAGATATTGGGGTCTTAGATGTACACTGATTTAAGATAAGGAACTTGGAATCAGCACCAGATATGTAGACTTAGACTTATATATAGCACTTAGATGTGGGTACCTGGATATGGGGGACTTAGATATAGACTTAGATGTAGGGCCTAGATATGGACTTAGACATGGGATTGAGATAGGTGGACTCAGATGTTGGACAGATATACAGGACTTAGATATAGGTATGAACTTAGATATGGACAGAGACATGGGATTTAGCAGACTCAGATATGGGCATAGAGGTGGGACCAAGATATGGAGGACTTAGATATAGGACTAAAATACACTGATTGATGTTGACTTAATTATGGGACTTAGAATTAGGACCAGATGTGCAGAATTAGATATGTACTTATATATGGGGCTTAGATGTAGGTACCTAGATCTGGGGAACTTAGATATAGACTTAGATGTTGGGCCTAGATACAGGGACGTAGATATGGGATTGAGATAGGTGAACTCAGATGTGGTACTTAGATATGTGGGACTTAGATATAGGACCTGGATACACAGACTTTGGTATGGACTTAGATATGCACAGTGACATGAGATTTAGATAAGCAGACTCAGATATGGGCGTAAACATGGGAGCAAGATACGGAGGATTTAGATATATGACCAAAATACACTGACAGATGTGGACTTAGAATTAGAACCGGATATGCAGACTTAGATATGGACTTAGATACAGAGGACTTGGAAGACTTTAGATACAGGACTTAGATGTGGGACTTCGAATAGGGACTTAGATGACGAGACGTCTGTTTGGCTCAAAGCATCCCATCTTGGTTTCCTTTTGCAGGGCTCTCTGGTGCGCCTTCCTTGCGCTTCCCCTTACTTCCTCATAATCATTCTCCGGGGTGAGGAAGTCGTCCACGATGGCGATGCGGTGCCCCAGCTGCTCACTCAGGGCATCCAGGAAGCGGTCCGTGTCACGGCTGCGTGGGGGCCTGGAGAAAGTGAAGAGCTTCTTGCGCTGGTGGCGCTGGGACGCGGGACTGAAGCCATGCTCCGGGGAGGGGGTTGGGCTGCTGTCCAGACTGACATAGGGGTTGGACTCAGTGCTGCCAGGAGAAGGCAGGCTGCCTGATGCACTCGGGGCCTGGAAGTAGCCTGCATGGTCTTCCTGCCAAGAGATGATCGGGCCAGACCTGCAGAGCCCTGTGGAGGGGACCAAACAGAGGGAGACCACATTCAAAGGTCACTCTATACAAGCCACAGCATCATAGAAGAGTCCTGGAAGGGAGAGGACAGGGTCAGGCCCTGAAATGACCTTTGAAGGTTACAGAAATGGGGCTGAACTGACCAAATGAATACTGGCAGGGAGAAGTTTATATCCCTACACTTAAATCATAGAATCCTAGAGTTGGGAGAGACTTCATGAGCCATCCAGTCCAACCCCTTTCTGCCAAGAAGCAGGAAAATTGCATTCAAAGCACCCCCAACAGATGGTCATCCAGCCTCTGTTTAAAAGCTTCCAAAGAAGGAGCCTCCACCACTGCTGAACAACTGCTGAACAGCTCTCACATTTAGGAAGTTCTTCCTAATGTTCAGGTAGAATCTCCTTTGCTGTAGTTTGAAGCCTTTGCTCCATTGTGTCTTAGTCTCCAGGGCTGCAGAAAACAAACCTGCTCCCTCCTCCCTATGACTTCCCCTAACATATTTATACATGGCTATCATGTCTGAAATGAGAGATTCCCTCCTGGGTACACAGAAAACTGGGCAAGTTGGAAGGCACTGAACAGACTGCGCTCTGGCACCACAAGATGCAGAGCCAACCTTAAGAAATGGGGCTACAAAGTGGAATCCACGACATGCGAGTGTGGAGAAGAGCAAACCACTGACCACCTAATGCAATGCAACCTGAGCCCTGCCACATGCACAATGGAGGACCTTCTTGCAGCAACACCAGAGGCACTCCAAGTGGCCAGCTACTGGTCAAAGGACATTTGATAGAATACCAAGTCTGCAAACTTTGTGTTTTGTTTGTTTGATTGTTTGTTTTTAATGCAATACAACTGTTTTGGTTCGCTCCTGACACGATAAATAAATCATGTCTCCTCTCAGCCTTCTCTTCTGAAGGCTAAACATGCCCAACTCTTTAAGCCGCTCCTCATACAGCTTGTTCTCTAAACCCTTGATCATTTTAGTTGCCCTCCTCTGGACACATTCCAGCTTGTCAACGTCTCCCTAAAACTGTGGTGCCCAGAATTGGACACAGTGTGGTTCCAGGTAAAGTGGTCTAATCAAGGCACATTAGAGTGGTAGCATGACTTCCCTGGATCTAGAAGACACCTGGAATGGAAGACACCTGGCTTGAAGATAGGCCATGAGAAAGGGATTTAGGAGTCTTGGTGAACAACAAGTGGAATGTGAGCTAACAATATGATGTAGCAGTTTAAAAGGCCAATGTGATTCTAAACAAATCAAGGTGGCCATTTGCAGCATTCACACTTGTCTCAAACAGACAAGAGTTCTTTCTCCCACCCTGGGCATTAATCCACAAATATATAAACCTCACTTGCCTAGTTTCGCACAGACCTCACAACCTCTGAGGATGCCTGCCATAGATGTGGGTGAAACGTCAGGAGAGAATGCTTCTGGAACATTTCCAGACATCCTGGAAAACTCACAACAACCCAGATTCTAGGCTGCATCCATAAGAGTATAGTGCAGGCATGGGGCAACTTGGGCCCTCCAGGTGTTTTGGACTTCAACTCCCACAATGCCTAACAGCCTACTGGCTGTTAGGCATTGTGGGAATTGAAGTCCAAAACACCTGGAGGGCCCAAGTTTACTCAAGTCTGGTATATTATCTGGATAGAAGGAAGTAATATAAGGTATGATTTGGAAATAGCCCATGCCAAAGGGATTTAGGAATCTTAGTGGAACATGAGCCAACAGCGTGATGTGAAAGCAAAAAAAAAAAAAAAACAAAAAAAAAGAGAAGCTAATGCGATTCTAGGCTGCATTATTATTATTATTATTATTATTATTATTATTATTATTATTATTATTATGTTTATTATGATGATTATTATGTTTACTTATATCCCGCTTTTTCTCTCCAAAAGGAGACTCAAAACATCTCAAAGGAGTCTAGTGTCCCAATTGAGGGAAGTCAGTCCCACTCTATTGTATCCAAGCCTGGAAATGTCATATCCCGACCCACGCCTTCCTGACCTGCTGGGTTTCCTTGATCTGGAGGCGATGTTCGGTGTGCGGCCAAGTTGCCCAGTTTGCCCCCAAAGCCGGTGGTCAGCCGGGTCTCCAGCTCTGCATAAACAGCCGACATCTGAAAGTGAAGAGAGGGAAGGAAGTGTGGGGAACTCTTGGTGGGACAGTTCCCTTTGATTCAGTAGCACGATGCAGGCTGATTCGCCCCAACATCTTACCATTTTAGGATTGGGTGTTTCCGGAAGGGATGTCCCATCACCCGCTTGCCTCTCCCCCGACGCGACACGGACTGGCAAATCCACAGCTGTCTCAATGGAGCCTGTCGGGAAAGATAGGAAGGCAACTGACACAGCAATGGGATGGCTGCGTATTTGAGTTCGAGCTGAACCCAGATTTGAGGGTTTCAGGCCAATGCATCCTCCAGCTGAAGAAGAGTGACAACTAGCTTTCATTTTCAGCTGAGTGAAGCAACTGCCTCATACAAAGCCGCTGAGATGCTGGCAATATTAGGCTGTTGGTAGCTTCAATACCAATGGGATTGGATAAAGTGACCCTAATAAAACAACCCTAAAGCTGTACTTTCTGAGCACATTTCACTCTATTAATCCATCATTTTATTTATGGGACTCAAGTCAGCTTATGGAATTGAGTGACAAGTAAAAGACTGACAACTAACTTTGGGATAGTTTGGGGTTTGTTTTCCTTTGGTGCCAATTGGACACTGAATCCACTCCATATTTAGAATGCTTAGGGCGAACTTGTGAATTGTGTAGGGTTTTCTTAGGCAAGGGTGACTCAAAGGTGGGTTTGCTGCTTCCTTCCTCTGAAATATAGTCTGTGAGCTCATCAGCAGTCTTCGTGAGCTGAAGAAAGGGTTTTGTTTTTGGACTGCCGCTCCCAGTAGCATCTATCAGCAAAACCTTCCTCTGAGGCTGAGAGAGTGTGACCTCCCCAAGGCCATCCAGTGGGTTTTTATGGCTGAATGGGGATTTGAAGTCTCCGGAGTCCAATGCTCAAACTCTACCAGAGTGTCTCTGTCTTGGTACAAAAGGATGGGACATTCTCTGGAGCAGAGCAACAAGAGTCTAGGGAAGATGGAGCTTTGAAGGTCCAAGAGAGAATGGCAACCCCAAACCTCCAGATTGGATTACTGTAATGCACTCTATGTGGGGCTACCCTTGAAAATGGCCCAGAAATTTCAACTAGTCCAACGGGCGGCGGCCAGGTTGTTAACTGGTGCCCCTTACAGGGAGAGGACAACCCTCCTGTTCAAGGAGTTCCACTGGCTGCCGTTCATTTGCCGGTCCCAATTCAAGGTGCAGGTGCTTACCTACAAAGCCCTAAACGGTTCGGGACCCGCCTACCTGCGTGACCGCATCTCTGTGTACGAACCCACACAATCTCTTCATTCATCTGGAGAGGCCCTGCTCACAATCCCACCTGCATCGCAAGCACGATTGGTGGGGACGAGGGATAGGGCCTTCTCGGTGGTGGCCCCTCGACTCTGGAACTCGCTCCCCAAGGATATTAGACATGCCCCAACTCTGGCAGTCTTTAAGAGGAGCCTTAAAACGTGGCTGTTCCAGTGTGCCTTCCCAGAATAAGGAACCCTAAGCAACATGTTCCTAATTGCACTTTACTAATGATCTATGATTGTCTGCTCGCTCCATTTCTCTCCAAATACCCATCCTAGTTATATGTCACCTTGTCATGCCCAGTATTTTAAAATTTTAATTATTACATTTGGCCCTGCCATAGGTTTTTAATGCGTCGTGGTGTTACTGTTATTGTTTATTGCTTTGTTTATGAGTTAATTATTGTCTGTATTGCTGTTGTTTTATTGTTGTATTTGGGCTCGGCCTCTTGTAAGCCACACCGAGTCCTCCGGGAGATGGTAGCGGGGTATAAATAAAGGATTATTATTATTATTATTATTATTATTATTATTATTATTATGGTATGACCTACCTCCGGTTCCTCCCCCACCTCCTCCTTCCTCACGATTGTGGCCATGGAGGCTCCTCCGACTCATCGAGGGTCCCATCCTGAGGCCCTCTTCCACCTCAGGCTCTGCTGCCAGGAAAAGGGGGAAGGCAAGTTTTTAATATAAAAGAACATAGAAACAATTTCCATTCTATACCCATCTTCATGCCACAGAGTTGTCTGCCAATGGTGGCACTCTTTCATAGAATGGTTGAGTCAGGAGGGTCAACCAAGGGTCATCTAGTCGGGCCCACAATGAGCCAAATGTGTGTAACACCAAAAAAGAGCCCAGATTTCCAGAAACATTGCTGTGTAGACAAGAGTTTTTTGAAGACACTCTCCACATCAGTCTTTTACTTTGTGTGCTACACCACACATATTTTCTTTCACCTCTGTCCAATTATTATTATTATTATTATTATTATTATTATTATTATTACATCCCACTTTTATTTATTTACTGAATTTGTACACTGCTCTTCTCAGCCCTCAGGTGACTAAGGGCGATTTACAATGGCAATGATTCAATGCCCAAAAACACCATAAAACATTTTAAAAATTAACACATAATATAAAACCATAACAAGAATAGTAAAACATAGATCATTTGCGTCTCTTAATAATAATAAAAAATCTCTTGACCAAGATGCAAAGTGCCTCTCCTCTTTAAACAAATGCCACCAATTTGGTATAAAAATAATCTGCCGGGCTCTAACTCAGTCTCTGGTGCGTCAACACAACCGTTTTGCAAAGACTGTAAGATTAAAAACCTTTCCTTGCCATTGCTGCACAGTGCCACCCATTTTCAAAACATAACCCTGCACAAACACAGCTGCAGATGCTCAGGTTGCTATGGCAACTGGAATTAGAAAGGCAGCATACGCATGAAGGCGGTCCAGGTTGTCTACATCGCACTACCAAATAGTTTTGACCATCAGGAAGTTCTTCCTCATGTTCAGTGGAATCTCAATGGGAAGCCATGGCTCCTTTGTGACCCAGTCTCCAGCGCAGTCCCACCTAACTGGTTGATCACTGGGGCCCTGATGCTCACCTCTTGACTTACCTGCCGCTGACTTGTAGCCCAGGAAGCGGGCGATCTTCTCCTGGCAGTGCTCCTGCTCTTCATAGGTCAGCAACTGGTAGATGAACTGCCAGATGACCTGCTTGGAGGGAGTGTCCAGCACCGGGTAGACGTCCACAATCAGGGTGTCAATGTTCCTGGCAGCAGAGACGAGAGATGGAAAGGATGGCAGATTGGAGGGAAGAGGCTAGTCCTTTTGGGAGTTATATCCTTTGGACATTGTAGCCAGCCCTTCACCTTTGCCAGTTTGTGGTTAAGAGATAACTAGCCGCTCTCAGGTTACCAACAAGGTTATCAACCAGGCCATCCTCAGGTATGCATTCCTCTACCCTGAGGAATTAATGTAGTTTGACTCCATGTCATGACTTCATAGGATTCAGGCCATAAAGGCTGTCATGACACATATAACTATTATGTTATGATCTATAGAGTCCTGTGCATTTTAGGGTGCTCTACCCTGAAGAATGAATGCAGTTTGACTCCATGTCGTGAATCCTTAGAAGTCAGGCCATAAAGGCTGACATGACACATATAACTATTATGCTATGAGCTATAGGATGACATACAAGGTTTGAGAGGCAGATCATTGGTTCAAACATTTATTTGGGGGAAGTCAAAGGGTTAAGAAAGTCATCAAAGTCTCTTTAAACCTGAGGCTGATGGGATGAAGGAGACTGACTCTTTTGGATAGGAATGGGAACAAAGAAACAGGGCACATGAACAGGTTGGATGCTCACTTAAATCTTGTAAGTGATGTCAATAGCTCAGTTCTGTAACTGGATGTCATGTGTGGATTACAACCAATATAGCACTATCTGCTATCTGAGACTTTTGTTAGGCTGCACAGATCCTTGGCTCAATGGTATGGAAACATGTGACTCATAGTTTTGCAAGGTCCCTAGTCTCCTCTAGCTGCCTCAATACTGCAGTGGCAATGGATGGATGCCAGAAGGGACTCACATGCTACCTATGCTGGAAAAAGGTCTCCAGGGCCTTGCAGGTGGCTAAATTCAAGGCGGTGAGACTTTGGAACGAAATAGTTAGGCGGCACAGATCCAAGGCTCATTGCCATGAGACCATGGGACCCGTATGTAATTTTGCAAGTACCCTAGCCTCTTGTGGCTACCTCGATGATGCGGTGACAATGGATGGATGGCATACAGGGCTTGGGCACTACCTGTACTTGAAGAAGCTCTCCAGGGCCTTGCAAATGGCCATCTGGTGAGACTTTGTTAGGCTGCACAGATCTACGGTGCAATGATATGGAAGCATGGGACCCATAGCTTTACAAGGTCCCTTGCCTCCTGTGGCTGCCTCAATGCTGCAGTGACAACGGATAGATGGCATACATGGCTTGGTTGTTACCTGTGCTGGAAGACGCTCTCCATGGTCTTGCAAATGTTTATCTAGTGAGACTTGGTATGGAACAAAATGGTTAGGCTGCACAGATCCAAAGCTCAGTGTTATGGTGAGTTTTGCAAGGTCTCTTCCCTCCTCTGGTTGCATCTATGCTGCAGTGGGAGAAGATAGATGGAAGCAACTGATTGTTACCTGTGCTGGAAGAAGCTCTCCAGGGCCTTGCAAATGGCATAGCGCTCGGGTGGCGTGAGCAGGTGCTCCAGCTGCTGGTGAAAAGTCCGGCCCTGGATCTTGATGCTGGAAGGGAGGATCTCAGCCACCCATTGCAAGGAGGTCAGGGCAGAGGAGGAGCCAGGACTCTCTGTTGACTCTGAATCTACATGCAGGGACCCAGGGAAGGAGTAGAATCAGTGCTCAAGCAGGAGGACATTCACAGCTTTAGCATTGTGATTTCTAGAATTTACAGTTTGGAATCATTGGCCAAACTACAAACCCCAGCATTCCATAGAGTTAAATCAGAATTGTTGGGCAGTGAGAAGGGTTCTCAGGACATATTTCTCTTGGACAAAGCAGAAAACCAGCCCCAGGACCCTCTGGAAATCCAGAATCGTGGGGCTGGGAAGGGTCAACAAAGGCCCTTCTGCCAAGCAAAGATATTCAGTTTTCCCAAGAAGGGGAATCTACCGAGCTCCTCTTCCGCCATGGAATGGCGCTTGCTTTTAGGGAGCAGACAATTTTGACACGATTGCGGTATTGCATTTGTTTGCAAAAGGATTCGTGTTTTTGCATTATTACCCCCTACCAACCCCAGAGATCCCTCCGTTCTGAGGACCAAGATCTATTGGAAATTCCCAGTGTCAAGACCTTGCGTCTAACAGCAACCCGACGGAGAGCCTTCACAGCAGTGGCACCATCACTCTGGAATATTCTGCTACCTGAAGTCCGTGCCTTGCGGGACTTACCAGCTTTCCGCAGGGCATGTAAGACATACCTGTTTCGACAGGCTTTTAATGTTTGATATTGCCGTTTTTAAATTGTTTTAAATTGCTTTTAAATTTTGTCTCTCCATAAACATAGTGCTTGGAAAAATGCACTAAAAGATCAAAATGAGTTTTGTATACATTTGCAAAACAATTGAAGTTTTGTATTTTGTTTCAGAAATGCATTGAAAGGATACAAACTGACTGAGGTTTTGTACTTATCTGCAAAATAATTGGGATTTTGCATTTTGTTTGGGAAGTGTGATAAAAGATACACAAGCGCTGTGGTTTTGTGTTTGTTTGGGAAATGCCTTACAAATAATACAAAGTAGTTGGATTTCTGTACTAGTTTGCAAAATGACTTTGAGCTCTTGCAGCGCATGCAAAAGGAAGGCACGTTCTTTTTTTAAAATGCATTTTGCAAACAGATGAATGCAAAAGCCACAGCAACATCTGGCACACACGACTGCTAAAAGCCAATCTGATCACCTGAGAAGCTGACGATGCCTTCCTCCACAACAAGAGTGGGCATGGCGCCGCTGCCTTGGAGCATGGAGACCACCTTTTCGTGGGAGCAGTTCCTGCAGGAGACAAGAAGAGCCCCGTCCCATTAAAAGGGGGTGGAAATGGCACCCAAAAAGGACCTTTAAGGAGGTATGCAGCAAGGGCAGGGGCCACATCATTTGCCAATAGGTCGAGAAGGAGATTAGGTAAAGGTAAAGGTTTTCGCCTGACATTAAGTCCAGTCGTGTCCGACTCTGGGGGTTGGCGCTCATCTTCATTTCTAAGCCAAAGAGCCGACATTGTTTACAGACACCTCCAAGGTCATGTGGCCGGCATGACTGCATGGAGTGCCGTTACCTTCCCACCGACGCGGTACCTATTGATCTATTTGCATTTGCATGTTTTCGAACTGCTAGGTTGCCAGAAGCTGGAGTTGACAGTGGAAGCTCACCCTGCTCCCTGGATTCGAACCTGTGACCTTTTGGTCGACAAGTTCAGCAGTTCAGTGCTTTAACCCACTGCACCACCGGCTCCTGAGAAGGAGGTTAATAACTGCATGCAAAGTTACAAGGCGAGTTCAGTTTGCAGCAATTGAAGTGAGCTGAGGACAAAGGCTGAAGGATGGGAAGGAAACTGTGGTGCTTTGAAAATGACTGTGGAAGTGGAATGACACAGGATTAATTGAGGATTGCCTTTCCAAACGAGAAGGGTTATTCCGTCAAACCAAGAACCAACTGGCTCTATAATCCAGGGATGACAAAAGAGAGATGCAAAAGAGAAGTCCTTTCACCTCATATCCAGGCCGTTGAGGAACAGGATCCGGTCTCCAGCTTTCAGGGATGCTTTGTCAGCAGGACTCCCTGCAAAAATAGAAAAAAATATTATGTTTTAAATGTCATTCCTAAGAGATCAAATATCTTCTAGTGTGCATGGCTCAAAGTCACCTGTCCACTCCTTTAGTTTCCTAAATTGGTGCATCTACACTAGGCATGGGCAAACTTGGACGCTCCAGGTGTTTTGGACTTCAACTCCCACAATTCCTAACAGCCTCAGGCCCTTTCCTCCCCCCCCCCTTCGCTGCTTAAGCAGCAGAGGAGGAAAACAAAGGGGCCTGAGGTTATTAGGAATTGTGGGAGTTGAAGTCCAAAACACCGTGAGGGCCCAAGTTTGCCCACGCCTAATCTACTGAAGAATCAACGAGCCACTTTAAATGCCATGGTTCAATGCTATGAACTTTTGAGAGTTGTAGTTTGCGCTCTTTGGCAGAAAAGGCCGAGGACCTGATCAAACTGCAACTCCCAGGATCCCACTGCATCCAGCCATAGCAGTTAAAGTAGTGCCAAACTGCATTCATTTCATAGTGTAGATACACACTTGGACTCAAGGTTCAATTGGATTCACTATTTGGATGGCCCCTGTAAAACAACAACAGTAACAGCAACGGCAAACATTTATTTATTACCCACCTCTCCCTCTAGCTCAACTTAAGTAACTTTGCAAAAGAAACCTGCATTAAGTCTCCTATGTGGAGAGATAAAGCAGGGTATAAATAATAGTAAACAAACAATGATATGTAACAAAAATTGAAAAAAATTACTGTTTGTGGTTTGAAAGTGTTATTCCCTGTTTAATTGTGTGGTACTTACTTAGAAAGTACTTGTTATACTCCAGAAATTTCATTTTTGTGGGTGCCAAAAACTAGGTGGAATTGGTTGAGCCTCGGTGAGATATTCATTGGAAAACTATAGCCAAATGTGCTGCAGGGTGTCCCTCCCGCAAAGACAAAGGTTTAATAAACTTTTTCCATATTTTTATGACAGAACCAATTAGGAAATGACATGTATAACCCAGGAATAAAAAATGTGTTAGTGTAATAAATATAATAAATGTAATAATAATAATAATAATAGTAGTAGTAGTAGTAGTAGTAGTAGTTTTGGCACAAAATACTCCTGACCTCATGATCATAGGGGGGGAAAACAAAATATGGATCGTTGATGTTGCAATCCCAGGCAATAGCAAAATTTAAGAGAAGCAACTGGAAAAGCTTACATGATAGAAGGGTTTAAAGATTGACTGCAAAGACTCTGGCAAAAGCCAGTAAAGGTGGTCCCAGTGGTGATCGGCACACTAGGTGCAGTGCCTAAAGACCTTGGCCAGCACTTGAAAATAATCGGTGCTGACAAAATCACCAGCTGCAAAAGACCATCCTACTCAAATCAGCACACATTATTCGCTGATACATCACACAGTCCAAGACCCTTAGGAGATGTCTGACGTGTAAATCAAATACAAAAGTCAGCATAGTGATCTTGTTTGCTGTGTATTAATCTTGTTGTGTATTTAATAATAATGTCTTACCAGACAGGACTGACTCAATCCAGACAGGGGCATGGCCACGAAGGGTAAAGCCAAAACTCCGGCTGCCTTTGTAGACCCGGACGGTCCTGGGAAGAAGCAAACCAAGTTACTAGCCCTCATGTTGTGAACACAGCCAAGCAAAGGCTTGGGAAGGTGTGACACATATGACTAAAGAGGGGCAGTGAATCTATTCCAAGGTTGAGAATAGAACTGTAGGGTTAGGAAGAGAGGGGACTTGCCTCCTGGCGGCCCCGGAGCCCACATTGCTGGCCACAAGGGAGGCCTGCCGGAAGCCCTTGAGAGTCTCCTCGTGGCTCCGTGGCACGGAACTGGCTCGTGTGGAGACCAGCAGTCGCTCACGGGGGTCTTCGCTCCGGCTGCGCCTCAGCCGCCCCCCGGGATGTCCACCCTTGGCCCGGCACAGCTTGCTGATTAGGCTCTGGGAGACCACTTCGTCAAAGCGCTGGCGGTGCTTCCGTGGGATGAAAATCCTGGGGGTCACAGAAGCACACGGTCAGAAGGGGCCCCCAAAGGCCATCCAGGAAAACACCATCCCAGTCCTCACGACAGAAGGCCACTCAATTTCCATTTTAAAACCCTCCAGAGAAGGAGACTCAGACAGAGTCCAAATGTTAGAGTTGGAAAGGGGCCCGCAAAGGCCATCCGGTCTGACCTCCACCAGGCAGGAAGATACCATCCGAGTCTTCTCAACAGGAGGCCATCTAGTTTCGGCTTAAAAACCATCCAGAGAAGGGGACTCAAAGAGAACCCAAATCTGAAAGTTGGAAGAGGCCCCAAAAGTCATCCAGTCTGACCCCCACCAAGCAGAAAGACACTATCCGATCCCTCCCAACTGAAGGCCATCCAGTTTCTCCTTTAAAATATTCCTGAGAAGAAGACTCAAACAAAATTCCAAATCTTAAGAGTTGGAAGGGGTCCCCAACTGTCATTCAGTCTGACCCCTTTCACCAGGCAGGAAGACACCAACCAATCCCTCCTAACAGATGGCCATTCAGTTTCTGCTTAAAACCCTCCAGCAAACAAAACTCCACGGAACTCCATGGAAGTACCGTATTTACCCAAGTTTAATGTGCCATCGAATCTCATGCGCACCCTAAGGTTAATGAGGTAATTTAGTCAAAATAAGGTGAGAACTAGATTTGAGTAAATATAGCATATATTGCACTAGAGCAGTGGTTCTCAACCTTTCTAATGCCGTGACCCCTAAATATAGTTCCTCATGTTGTTGTGACCCTCAACCATAAAATTATTTTAGTTGCTACTTTATAACTGTAATTTTGCTACTGTTTTGAATTGTAATGTAAATATCTGATATGCAGGAGGTATTTTCATTGTTACAAATAGAACATAATTAAAGGCCAGTGATTAATCTCAAACACTGGGCTTTAATTATGTTCTATTTGTAACAATGAAAATGGGGCTACAAAGTGGAATCCTCGACATGCGAGTGCGGAGAGGAGCAAACCACAGACCACCTGCTGCAATGCAACTTGGGCCCAGCCACATGCACAATGGAGGACCTCCTTGCAGCAACACCAGAAGCACTGCAAGTGGCCAGATACTGGTCAAAGGACATTTAATCAACTACCAAACTCACACATTTTGTATTTTCTCTGTTTGTTTGCTTTGTTCCGTTAGAAATGTAATATAATTGACTGGCTGCCCTGACACGAGAAATATAAAAAAATAAAATCTCAAACATAATATGTTTTGGGGAGTACAGTCAATGGATGATGAGATTTGCAGTATTTTCAACCGATTCAGCTCTGGCTTCCACAGAACACTGAGACGCCCCAAAAATGACAGGCCTGGACCAAACTTGGCATACAGAACTCCCATGACCAACAGAAAATACTGGAGAGTTTGGGGGAAAATAGACCCTGACATGTGGGCATTGGAGTTACTTGGATTTACAGTTCACCTGCCATCAAAGAACATTCTGAACACCATCAACAATGGAATTGAACCAAACTTGGCATACAGAAGTCTCATGACCAAAGGAAAATACTGGAGAGGTTTGGGATGAATTGACAGTGATTCCCCTTCTGCTTGGGAGGAGGACCCCATCTGATCCCTCTCAGCAGACAGTCATAGAATCAAAACATCCTAACCCCAAGGGCCTTTCTCTGGACATCTTCCATTTTGTCCATTTCCTTCCCAAATTTCTTTGCTCAGATCTGGACACAGGATTCTTATTCCAAGTGAGAAGGTCTGACCAAATGCAGAAGAGATTGGGGCTATTACCGCATTGCATGCAACGTTCACCATAAGATTTCAAAGAGGTGGGGAGGGTTTCACCAAAAACAGTGGGGAGGGGCAGTGGGTGGGTGGGGCCAAGTCTCTACAGTGTGATGGCAAATCAACTGAAGACTACTGAGTACAACTGAGTAACTTGGATAGATTTAACATCATCACACTAGAGAATGAATCCACTTTAAATCCGGTTGTTGCCTCCTGCAGAATTCTGTGGTTTGTAGTTTAGGGAGGAGTCTTTAACAGCCTCATCAAACTACAAACCCCATATTGTTCCATATTGTTAAATGCCCAATTGTCCTGTTTCAAGTTCTATTATCCTATCACACATTGCTCTCTTTGGGTGTTCACCCATCGTTGCCCATGTTTGGAAACATCACACGAAGAATCCATTTGTCCACCCTCTCTGTATTATTATTATTATTGTTATTATTATTATTATTATTTATTTTATCAGGGAAAATTTCAATATCCAAAAGCCAAGAGATCCCTTGCCCTACTCTTGAGACAGTTTGGGTCCAGGTGTGGGGGGCTTCTGGTGCCCAATTCTCCATACTGACGGGAGGGGCAGCCTTTGGGTCCCAAGGTGGGGTCAGACCAACTGTGGCCAGTTAATTCCTATGGCATGAAAGAAACCAAGCAAAGCAGGCAGTGTCCAGAAGAAACAAAAGCTTTATTATGATTATTACTCTATGTACACTATGTATATACTCTATATTCACCCCATAAACACTCTATGTACCCTCCACATCTATTCTATATACACTGATTTACTTACAAACTATATACACTCTTATTTACATGTATCCTCCCAAATCACTGGGAGGCCGAACCTCCCTGGGCCTCTCTGGGACCTTTGCCTGGAGTCCCCCTATGGCCTGCCTGACCTTGAGGGACCCTGCTTCCCTTTGGCTCCTTGGATGGTTTTGGGGGATATCCCTATCAGTCTTAGGATATCGCTCCTTCTCTCCGGCGCCTCTTTTGAGGGTTCTCTCCTGTCTCCTCTTCCTTGCTGGATGGGGCAGCCTACCCTCCAGGTCTTGGTAGGCACGGTGGGAGGGGCGGACCTGCTCAGGGAACAAGGAGGACCAAACGTTTCGGAGGGAAAGGTGAAGAGAGGCTCCCAAAGACCGCAGGAAGCTCTCCAGGGAAGGGTCCTTTGTTGGAGTGCAGGCACCCACCTTGCTCTTTTGCGAGGAGGAATGGGGGCTCTCCTTTGATGAGCCCTTCCTTGGGATCTTTCCTTTCACCCTGGAGCCAAGCATTGATTCTCCCTGCACCTTTGCAGAGCCATAGTCCAGAGGCTCATAGGCTGTGTCATTCCGGTCTAGATGCCCTCAATGGGTCACGCTCCCTTCCAGGTCTGTGTGTGCCTCTGTGGGTCCCCTGCCAGCATAGAGTCGCGGGTCCTTCTCTCTGGTCCTCCTGCATATTGTTTTCCGGAGCTTAGCCTCTGCTTGCTGAGTCAGCCCTACCACCAGCTCTCCATAGACAATGTCAGCGTGGTGGAGAAAGGGCCCCTGAGCTTGGTGGTAGATGCATGTCCGGTGCATGCAACGCGTGGCTGCTCCTGTGGGCCAGTGGAGGTCCTCCTCGTAAATTCTATTCTCTACATGACAGGGCTATCTGGATACTGCTGACGCCGCCTGCAAGACTGGGCTCCAGGGACAGCTGGCCACTCTCCACCTCGATGGGTGGAGGAACTGGAGGACATCCAGGAGTGTTTCCATGGTCTTCTGTGGTCTGTGAGGAGGTATAGATGTCAGGGGCAGTCTCCTTCTTAGCAGCAGGTGGGCTCTGTGGCTCAAGCCCACTCTTGCCCTCTGTGGGTTCTGAGCTCACTGCTGGGGTTTCTCTGCAGGCGGCTTCTTCCTCCATGATCAGTGGCCCAGGGCTGCCTATGGCTGCTGTTGCACAGATGGTTGTGTGGCTTTGTGCACTGGAGGTGGTGGATGGGCTTTGTGAATCTGTAGCATCCGCTTTGTCCCATAGTTGTGGGATTTGCCCAGGCCACACTCTTGTAACTGCACGGCTTCTCCCTGAGGGGGCCCTTTCTTTCTCTGTGGTCTCCAAGGTCCCTTCCTGAGAGGTCTCTGAATTCACCTGGAATGTGGAGTCTGGTGGGCAGAAGGCTGTCAAAGAGTTCTGCACAATGAGTTGTTTTTCCACCGAGTTTCTTCCCAAATGGAATGCCAGTGTACTGATCATTCGAGACTGATCTTGAGTGGCAGCAGAAGAAAGAGCTGTTGGTGGTTTGTGGGATTTTTCTTTGGGTAACCCTTGGACCACCTTTTTCTGAGGAGTACCGTCTCTTGGCAGTGTCCTTTCCTTTTTATGTCCCTGACCTCCCCTTGCGGATTTTGACGATCCAGCTTCTTCCTGGTAGGACCGCTGTGGCTCAGTGGCTGGGGCAGCAGGCGAGACTGCACGGAGAGAATCCTGGACCTTTTTGGGGAGCCCCCACTGCCGCCGAATGGCCATCTTCTTCACACTGGCCTCCAGTTCCTTCTGGACCGGGTCAGAGATGAAAGGTGGCTCATTGGTCTGGATCTCTACTTCCTGGACTCTGCCAACCGGGTGATTTTTTGGCATTGTCACAGGCAGTGGGGGTGAGAGGAAGGCCTGAAGAGACCTTTGGATGGTAGTGGGAAGACCCCACTGGTGTTGAAGCTTCTTCCACTGAATATGCATTCCAGCTTTTCTTTTTCCTCAGTCTGGAGAAATGGGATAGCCACTTCCTGGAAAGGAGCCGTCACTATGTATCTCTTGTGCATTTGTTCCTTTTCCCCATCCAAGTCGTCCTCTGCAAAGTCTTTCCTGGAAGAAGAGCAGAATCTTGCTGGGTGTGATGGTGGAAGAAGGTTTTTCAATGACCTCAACACTTGCTGTGGTAAGCTCCAGACATGCTCCACCTTCCGCCTCTGAAGGTGCCGCTCCAAGGAGGTCCTGGTGACTTCAGGGAGGAACAGGGGTTATTGCACCGAAACATGGACCTGAACGTCCTGCTTTTTAGGTTCAAGCCATGAAGGAGCATTGCTCACGAACCCCTCAAGAGACCTCTGGACAAGGCCTGGTATCGTGGTCTTTTGGTGGAAGGGTGCTTGGGGAGGCTCTGTTACAAAAGCCATCACAGACTTTTGGACAAGACCTGGTAATACCCATGCATGGTGGATCCTCTTCCATGTCACATGAAGTTCTAGGGCTTTTCTCCTCTCCT